CCCCCCCCCCCCCCCCCCCCCCCGCTTTGCTGCCCCTCTTAGTCGTCAAGGAACACTGTTCCCCAGCAGTGCCACAGATTGAAACCTGCCACAGCCACACAGAGACTTTGGTTTTTCTGGGGGATCAGCCCAGATTGCCCACATGTGTGTGCTGAGAGCAAAGCAAAAAGCCCATCACCTGCAGAGGTACCATTGGTACCTGCCCTGACGGAGGACCGAGGGCCCGTCCCCGAGGACACTGCCAGGGCTGTGCCAGGGGCTGCTGGAGGGGTCAGGCACCACGTGCAGCTACACACCTGCACCCACAATGCTGCCTACAGCAGAGAGGAGCAGCTGAGCATCTGTGCCCAGCATACAGTGCTCAGGACAGACAGATGGACAGATGGATAGGTACAGCATCCCAAAACCTCCTTGTCCCGCAGGCAGTAAAGGCAGCTGGAGCGCTCATGCTTTGGCAAGGCAGAAAGGTGAAATTCTTACACGACAGCCCATTTTGGCCATCACATGGAAAGGTGGGAAAGGGGACAGGGTGAAAATGGTTCATTTATTCCCAACGCCCCACACGCCCCTGTCCTCCCCTGCTCCAGGGCTGGTGCTGCCCAGTGGGGTCTGCTGCCAGGTCACATCCTGCACCCTGGGGATGCTGGGCCACCACCCTGCCCCGCGGCTTCCCCCTGCAAACAGGGAGGCACACACTTCGGTTTAGCAGCACAAGGAATCCCACTGGGGCTAATTATAACTCCTAGGATTTTATCAACAATTAGCTTAGCACGGATGGTCACATATCTACACAGCACAAGCTGTTATTATGGGCTGGGCTGATAATAATGCTGGCTACTGATTTTGCCTAGCATTTCCCATTATAAAACCTTGCTTTTGGTCACTCACAGCATTGCCAAACTTTTAACCATTTAGGCAGAAATTCTCCATCCCAATAATCTGCCTCCAAGAGGTTTTTTAGGTCTGGAAAGATTTAATTCAGGCTTAGAGAAAGAAATTGCTTTGCTCATGGAAAGTGCACTCTGGTTGTCGGCAGCTCTGGGCTTTCTGTACTTTGGCTCTAGCAACTGGATACTTTGCAAATGTGGTTTTTAGTGCACATAGCCCACGTAACTCACAACTGAGCAACCTCAGGGATCAGAGGGACTTCATTTTGTTCCCTGGCAGGGCAGGAGGTGGTCACAGCATCATGTCACCATGGCTTCTGGCTTGTTGCTACTCTCTGGAGCTGCCAGCACTTGAAATTTGCTGCCACTAACTGCCGTAATGCCCGGACGACTTTTTCCAACACAGTCTATACAGAGAGAGACCCAGCGCTGCAGTTCAGTGTTTATATCTCGCACGGGTCCATACATACTGCTAGCACAGGAGAAAATGCTGGCAAGGATGATGCCTCTGTAAGAGTAACGAGGCACATGGGCACCACAGGAGTTGTGCAGCAAAGCCCAGCGGTGTCAGGGCAGAGCAGCTCCATCCAGGGGGTCCCCAGTGGTCCCCGGATGATGGGACCTGAACCGCGTGGATGAGAGGAGCCTGAGCAGGGAGGGCAGGATGAGCATCCCCAGGACAGTCGCCTCCCTGAAAGGCATCAAGGAGGAAGAGGAGGCTTTGGGCTGAGCAGAGGTGAAGGGCAGTGTATTTCTCAGCACCACATCACTACAGGCACCTCCGGGGGAGCAAAGGGGTGAAGACACAGAGAAAACTGGGACAGAAAGGGGAAGAGCTGATGGGGGAGAGCTAGCAAGGAATGAAAGGACAGGGTGGAGACATAGGGCTGGCAGAATGATTAGCACCAGATGGCAGGTATCAATTATTTACCATTTATGTACAATAAAAAAATACACTTTAACAATGGGAAGAGCACAAAACAAGCTTAATAGCAATTCAAAAACATATGGAAATAAAATGCGGCAATTTAAGGGGTTGTAATAAATGTGCATCGTTGGTTGTAATGCCCCTGCAAGAATTACAAATGTTAAGCCTTAGTGAATTACACTTAAAAATAAATGTAACATAAAAAAGAAATTAGGTACACAAATAACTTTACATTCAGGCATTTATAAAAGAAAATCTGTTTGCAGCAGCTAATTAGAAAAAGGGCTCTAATGAGCCTCACTTTTCTTTACCTTAGAGACAATGCGTTAAACGTGGATATAGGTATGGTGGGTACCATTAAAACTCAACTTCTTTAACTTTCCAGTGATTTCAGAAGTAAGGTATCTCTTTTCCAGAGACAGGAGCTGAAATTGTGGTGCCGTTAAAGCTCTGCCATGTCTGGAGAGGCCATCTGTACCTCTCTGCAGTTGCCCGGATGCTGGCACTGTCTTCCTTTAGTATTACCTCTATTACTCAACAGCTGTATCAGTAAGTTTATGTTGACTGGTGGGAAAAGAGGTGACTACCTTAAGCTTGAAATGTGGAACTCCCAGTGAAGATCCTGCATTGCTGTGAGTGGTATTTTTTGTTTTACTGTAGGATGGGTACCATTTGAGTTGAAAGAATGATCTTACCACAGTGAACAGTGCCAGTGCCACCCAAGGGATGCACTTCAGGTAAAGCAATGTATCACAAACAAAACAAGGAGGTCAAAACAGATTACTCACTTCTAGTGAATTAGAAACTTTCCATCAAAATATCATGGAACTGATCATTTTCCACAGAGCATTTACTTTTCACAAAACAGCACTGCTTTCCAACAGCACTGTAAAATGAAGGCAAATCAGCAGTGCTCTTTGGTCTGCTCCCCCCACCCCAAATTATGGGGAGCAACTTCGAAGTTTTCCACAAATGATGTTTCACTGGGCAGAGGCCTGGGGAAGGTTTGGTCTTCACTTAAATTGCATTTTCCCCCCTCCTTTTCTAAGGAGCACTAGTAGTAATGGAAGCAATTGCTGAAAGGGACCAGCCTCATGCCCTGCCGTTTCTGTTGCAAAAAATGGTGCGGAGAACGGGGAGATGTCCCACGGAGGCTGTGGGCAGCAATGCCAATGGGCAGGGTGCTGGGCAGGGTGGCTGCTCCCAGCCTGAGGAAGCCTTGCCAGGCCAGGTGGCAGCAGCAGGACTGTGGGACACCAGGGTGGGCCACAACCCAGGCGCATGGATACCCTGGAGTTCTTGCATTCGCCTCGCTCGCCAGCATCGCTTCCATATTTTTAAATATTTAATCTTTGCAGCCCAGTTGCCATGGGAACCTTCACGCAGAAATCTGGACTTTGGGTTAATCAGAAGGATCCTTCCCACGGCTGGGCAGGAGCTGGATTTTCCCCCATTGCCGTGCCAGCACAGCACCATCCCTTGCCAGAGGGGTTCGCTCTGCCCTGCGCACGCCCAAGGGTCTTTCAGTATCAGCTCCTAACACGCTGCCACCGAAGTCTTGGGAAATCCCCTCCTTAACACTCAGATAATTCCTACTGGAAGTCATGGGATGCTTCAGCATACTTATTGTAGAAAAAGATCTTTTCCACAAGCGTTCTAGGAAATGACTGTGACACCCAGCCAGACACCATGGGCCAGCCCTCACTCCCCCTGCACATGCCACTGGGCTTTTAGTGCACAGCAAGAGAGCCAAGGCCACGAGCTGCCTTTCGCCTGTTGGGGGAAAAGGGCTCCCATTTCTCATCGCCAGCTGAAGGCGATCATTCCCTTGTTCATTTAAACACCTCTGCAAGCCATGGGGACTCGGGCTGGGAACGGAGAATAAAGCACACAGGTTATCAGCAGGGCTCAGCCTCTCCAATGTGGCCAGTATACACCAGCATGTCTGAAAAGACAAGCCCACTTAGGAATTTGATAGTCCTTTTACAGACCACCTTTTTTGTCTGTCTTTATTTTGTGGTTTGTGGTGGAAAGTGCTCAGTGTGCTGCGGAGCACGAGCAGCCCCACGTTGTGCACGCTGGCAATGAGATGCTTGCCTTCACTTGAGTCCCCTCCAGCAGACTCCTGCTCCCACATGACTCCCGTAATTCATCCTCCAGACGAGCTACTGGAAACCACAGTCTGACCAAAATATAGACTTCATATCCCATACAGCTGTCCTGGTTACTCCCCTGGTTCATCAACTGCAGGAGGTGCCCAGGAGTGCAAGATGCCTGCAGAAACACAGCAGTGGCCACAGCCACACTGCCAGCAGCATGAGGGGTCACGGAGCAGAAACCAGCATCACACAGAGTGTTTTACTGCTTGTAACGACTGGGGCACATGTTAGCTAGATTGTTCTTACGGCCTCACCCTAAGCTTTTTGTTTGGCATGGAAGATTTTTTACATTACTAAGCCCTAATTGGAAGCAGATCAGGGGCTTTTGCCTTGCTTTTCCGGCCACTTTCCCCTTGTGCCACCTGGGGAAGGCAAGGTGTGACCGGTACCCATTGCTCCAGTACCCTGCCAGCAGGGAGGAGGAAAGAGCTCCCTCTGCATGGCCAGCACCACTCCTTCCCTTTCTTCTATTTTTAGATGTCTCCTCCCACTCTTGTTTAAACATTTTACCTAGATCCATAACATTTGCCAGCTGGGGGTAGTAATGCTGGTTCCCAAGGTGCCTGCAGCATTTACACAAAAGTAGGCAATGGAAGAAAACCATCTCAGCAATTATGTGAGAGATGATGGTGAGCCAAAAAGAAAAATGTATGGAAAAGGTGTGCTCTCCTGCCAAGAAGTTAGGGCTAAATTACAGAGCCTGGGAGTCTTCAAATAAGTTAAACATTGTATTACAAATTTAGTTTCAATTAACAAATGAAATAGGAAAACAAGCTCACTGCCTAGCAGCTACCACATGAGGGGAGGCATTTTGCAGTGATGACCTTTTATTCTGACACCAAATACCATTAAAACAAACACCCAAAATTAAATCAGTTTCCTCAGCAGTGACACTTTGCAGCCCTCCTCTGCTCTGAGCTGGCCCAGGGGCTGGGGCTTCTCCCAGGTGCTCTGCAACCCTGCCTGAGCCTTGGCACACAGTGGTTATTCCGTGACCTCTGTGCCTCCCAGCCAGGGCCCAGGTCCAGTCATGCTCAGGTCCACTCTGGCTGCTCACAGGCACACTGGCTTTGGGGAGCTGGCCTGGGGCAAAAAGCATCCCACCAAGGCTCTGCAGGTTGGGTGCTGTGGCCATCAGGAGCAGGTCCGCCCCGCCACATCCCCTCCAACAGTGTTTCAGCAAACAACCCGCTGCCGACTGCCCTTTTTTATTACTTTACAGCACAGTTTTTCCTCGAATTTTATGGCATTTCATTAAAGCCGCCAGAAGGTGATACTGCCCCCTTTCCAGAAGTGAAATAAATTCAAGTTTTATCGCTTCTGGAAATGCTGGAACAGCTGTCAGGACATTTGATGGATTTTCTCAATTACAGGACTTGTGGAGCATTTTATACTTACATCCGCACCTAAGTCTAATATACTGTACTAGATGTTTGTTCCCTCCCCCGCCCCTTATCTCTTTGCATCTCCCTCCCTAATAATGGTCAACTTGATATTTTTGTCTTAATTCCTTTTTTTTTACCGTAGCCTTTTTTCTTCCCCAATAATCATCTAGCATTTTCCTTTATTTCCCAATAACGCTTAACTTTTCTATAAAAGCAGGTGGTGACCCCGGAGATGGTTAGTGTCCCCATGGTGGCTTAATCAAGAGTCCGTTGTCGTGTCCACCCCCCACCCCCATCCTGGCAGCTTTCAGATTGGGGGAGAGAAAGGCTGAGGAGGACTGGGTCTATGGGCTGCCCTGTGCCTTCTGGGTGCAATTTTCTTGGAAATAAATCCCCCTCTACCTCCTCCTTGAATTCAGAGCTTCCTGGTGCAGGCAGCATCCCAAACACAGGGACCTGTCCCCATTCGCAGGTCCCCCTGTCAGGGCCGGGAGCGCAGGAGGCAGCCCACAGCCATCTGCACCTTCTCCTAAAGACGTCCTTGACAGATGAACACTGATTTCCCAGTGCTCCCAAGGGAGCCCTTCTCATCTGGGCTGCTCCAGAGACTGTTTTCCAAGTGTTCTATACGAAATCATTTCTCAGGCTCTTCTCCGCCCCGTCGTGTACCTGACAGGCTGTATCGGCTCATGCACTGTCACAGCCACGTCCCGTACTGATGGAGGCATTTCTCCACGTCGTGTTTTTTGGTGAGGATGCCCCACTGAGCCCTGGGGATTAATGGAGAGATGTATTTTACCAGGGTGAATTTATCTTGGCTCACTTCTCTTTGACTGTAATCCAAAGTGGAGCAGCAGCTCAGGGTCTGCAGCTCCCCAAGGCAGTGAGCGGTGCAGGGGTTTGGATGGGAACATCCCCTTAAAGGGAGCAGCATCCTCCCCCTAGAGTGGGGAGTGCTGAGGGCAGCAGAGCAAAGCACCACTGAAAAAAGATGCTGCTGCTTTGCACCACTTGAAATAAGCATTTTAAATCGGCACCTTTCTCTGAGGCACAGGGAGAGGAAACCCTGCAGAAGTGAGTGTCCCAGCACTGCATCTACCACTAGAAAAAGTTGCAGTGGTCAAAAAAAGCACACATATATTTTGAGAGTTGCATTATTTAACCCAAAACTTTGTCTCTCTGAGAAGATGGAGGCAGCCAGGGGGAAGGAGGAGGCATCCACTCCCTGTAAGAGCAGGAGTGAAATAGAGTTGAGACGAAGCCATGACCCATCGTAGAGGAGGTCCAGCATTTAGTACCCTCTTGTTGCTGAGATCAGGCACTGTCTGTGTTTCCCAACCTATCCCCAAACCGTGAGAGCTGACACAGAGGTCTGAAGGAGCAGCTCCACGAAGAACACCACAGATCCTCAGCAAATTTCCACAAGCCAAGGTGTGATCCCAGATTTATTTAAATTAGAACAATTTAGGCAATTAAAGGCAAAGAAGTGCTTGGAGAAGGGGGGAAACTACTACCAAACAGAATTGCTATTACAGTCTATCAAACTGACACAAAAAGATTAAAAAGCTGATTTACATTTTTTTAAAAAAAAGAAGAAAAAAAAAAAAGTAGTGTTCCCTAAAATAGATAATGCATCCTGCTGAGAAAATCACTCCACACATAAAAGAGAAGCAAAGGTGATTATATATAACAGAACTAATCTTCTCTATTGCTTTAATCACCTCAGACCATTTCACCTGCTTATTTGGAAACTGTTAACCCAAGGAAAAAATTATTGTGAGAACATCCTCATTTCCAGCACTGCACTCGAATGGGCTTGTTTTCCTAAACATCCATCCCCGGAGTCTTTAACAACGGCCATTGCTCTGCAAGATAAATGTTTGCTTAAGACTATTCTGTAGTTAATACATATATTCATGACTTGAGCACGATGCAGCAAGGGAAGAGAGTGCCAGGAAGCCACCAGCGACTCCCCAGGGTCGTGGCAGGACTCTGTCCTGATACTTCCGACAGCCAGCAGTAGATTTTGCCCAAATTTTAGGGGAGCATAGCATGGGGGCCTGGTGGGTAGCCATAGGGTGCACAAAGGCAGCCCTGCACATTTTCTTTCCAAAATCCTGGCTCATGAGGTCAGGATGGAGCTTACCTGGGGCAATGAGCAAGACAAGGGCATCTGTAGGATGAGCAAAATGAGGGGTGATTATCTCTCCTTTCATAGGGCATCTTCCATCCCAGCAGCTCTGGAAGCAATTTGTGTGCTAAAACCACCCTCGCTGGGACCCTGCAGCTGGCCAGCAGCTCCTACCCACGCCCTGTAGCATGTCAGCACCAGAGACAGAGAGCGGTGCATATTGTGGATATGAAGAGAGGCTTTACGTTGGTGGAGTGGATTTACCCCCCCCAAGTGCTGTCAGCTGGGGTCAGTCTGGTGGAGCGGTGCATGGGTGCACATGTGTGCCCCAGCTTTCCAGTCCGTAGGATTTATCAGTGGCTGCCACCTCTCCATGGCCAGCAAGAGAGGAAGCACCTCGCCAGGCTGCAGGGACCTTCACAAACTACGTCCACAAAGATGAATGTGTTGGCCCTCTGCCATATGTGCATGGTTATCTCAATATTAATCGTATTTGATACTGAGATGCAACGCCTCTTTTGCTAAACCAGACATAGTACATTAAGCGCTGATTCTTTCTTTGCCTGAGTGGTAGCTTGTGAGACATTATAGACGGTTTGTTTTTATATGTCACAGCTTTGATCCAAAGCTCGCTGAAACCCACAGAAACCCACCAGCATGGGAGGTTTTGTGTCAGAGCTACAGCAAGTAAATAAACACACGGAGAGGAGGTTTTCATGCAGCAGCAGCCTGGGCTGGCACCAGGCACCGCTGCCATCACTGGCAGCTCCATGTTGCAGCGGTAAATTTTTGCAGACCTCCATAACTCACCCCAAACGGCTCGCTCATTTTTCTTACAAACGCAGTTTCACCATGATCTCCAAATTCAGGGCTGGCATGAGTGATACTTGTTATCCTGGGATGTCAGCAAGAACAAGTAAAAAAATTCCCTCTTCAAGTTACTGAGATACAAATTGGTGTAGGCAGGAAATATGTGTGCTGCGCTTTCAGAGACTAATTACCTCCAAAACCCGGGGTATTCAGAAGAGGGGAAGACATTGAGTCCAGGCACATGGAGGGAGCAGGAGGACAGCAAGCATTCTACTCCTAGCCATAAGCCATAAGAAATCAAATTAGAGGGACAAAAAGCCAGTTATAGATCCATTTTGCAACGCCAGCTGACATGGCTTCCATTTGTGACTCGCTGGGTGACATTACTTATCCTGAGTGCTCCTCTGACAATATAAGCACTTAATGTGAAGACATGTGTAAAATTACAGCAAAATGAATGAAACCCAGGAAATTATATGAAGTTTATGGGGTTGCTTTTTTTTTTTTTTTACCCCCCTTTTTTGAGGCCTCTTCTCAATTTCTGCCTTCTAAATGACTATCTGGGCAATGCATCAGCTGACAGTGCCTTCCCGGAGCAATGGGCTCTTCTGCTCTTGATGCATCTGAGCAACTGGAAACTAATACCGGCATGCACTGAACAGCAAATAGACCTTCATGTTGATGAGACAAATCCTGCAGCACTTAAAAGCAAGCTATGCTGAAGTATCCCATGTATCTCCATCTTCAAAGTGCAACACACTTATGGAAATTGCAGATGCTGTGGTGCTATTTGTCTGGAAGGGGACATTACAGATGACATATGAACCTGATTTCTCAACCAGATGAGGTCCGTGAGAGGATTAAGGAAACATCTATAAATTAAGATGCAGAATAAAGTTCCTGCTGTCTTCCTTGGTCTCTCTCTTGTTGACTTGAGAGTCAAGGGCTCACGACTGCATACTTGGCAGAGCACCAGACATCCCTCCCTTGACTGCCGTTATAAACCAGGCAGATCTCATGCTGCAATCCCTCTTTGGTAGAGCAGGCAACACCCCAGTGACCAGGGCTGTTGGCAGTGTCCCCTCCCCAGCCACCTGCAGCCAGCCCCTTGGCAATCAGCCCCTGTGAGCAAGGCATCCGGCATGCAAAATGCATATTTATCTAGAAAATTTTTTTCTTTTTCTAGCTGTGCACTGCAAACCCGCGTGGTGCCCATTCCTGAAAGCCATTGAATGCAGCAATGTCTGAGAGCACAAGCAAGCAGGCAGCTTGTGGGCCTGGGTGTACAGCCCGTGGTCCCTGCACCAGATGGGGATCTCTAGAAAAAGTGATCACCTCAGTTCAAGACCCACATGGAGATTTCTGGGCTCATTCAGTGTTCTTTGTGCATGAAATAGTGTTAAATGCAAGGGAAGAAAAGTTTGTCTTTCTCTGCAGTGACCCCAGGATCAATGTAATTAAACCCATTTCACAGCCCCAATTGCGCTCTGCAGCAGCCCCTCTCACAACTGCGCTTCCCAAGGAGACAAAATGCAGTAGGGGAAACCAAATTCCTGCTGCCATCTTCAGCTCTGCCCTGATAATGCACGTGCATCGGGGCTGGTGCAGGGGCAGCCGTGCTGGGGTAACCCACACCCCCCAGTACCTCGCACAGGCAGACCTCATGCCGGCTGCACCCTGGAAGAGCACCCAGCACTGTGCTGGGAGTAGGCACTGGCTGTCGAGCCAGGGACCTGTGCTGGATGGACACCACCCCAAAATCAGTGCCCGAGAAATAAGTATCTAAAGTCCCAAGATGTTAGTATGACTCTCATAGAGCATTCACAGTGACAGAGCAAATGGGAAAGCATCAAAATATTTTGATCTTTCTTCAAAACAGATTTTTTTTGTTGTTGCACTGGATATAGATGGATTTTTTACAAAGGGTGAAATAACTCTGAGCCATGAGGGTCTGTACCAGCCAAACAATCTGGATTCATCTGAATTATATCATTTCCCTGACTTGGTCAGAAAATGCACTGTTTGTATGACTCCACGGACTGTGTAAGAGAAAACACACAGTAAGAAACTACTCTTTTCTTTACAAGCACAAATCTAGGTGGATAAGGTCAAAGGTAGGAAGGCAAATAAAGGGAACAGAGGTAACCTGGTCTGACCGAGGTTACAGCAGATGCAATTGCTGGTACTCGTGTTTGGTTGAAGCAGGCTGTCAGCCAGTGCTATCCCCTCGGGACAGTACTGTCGGCACAAGGACTTAGGGAGGAGCAAGAGGTGAAGGATCAAGAGGTGAAGTAGCTTGCCTCTGTCTTTAGGGCCTCACCTTTCCTGACTGCAGTGGAAGCAGGGCAGCAGGTGCCCAGCTGAGACCAAGCCCCAGAAAGCATCCTGGGAGCATTTAGGCTGCACTAGCAGCATGAGTCACCTCACAGAAGCCGGCTGCAAGCCATTTTCCTTTTTGTCAGCACAGTCTGCTCCACAGGAACAAGGAAAATCTCCAAACCTGGAACATAAAAAAGGCATCAAGCAAACACACAAAAGTATTTCCATTTGTTTCATTGCAGATAACGGGTGGCAGCTACCATTTCAAGATCAAGTCTTGCTCTGCTGAAGACCTCCAGCTGACACATCACCAGTCATTTACGACCTGCCATTAAACATATACAGTCATTATAGCTCTTTTCTCTGCTAGTTGCAGCCTCAGGACTTTTTGCTTAGGCTGCACATAAGTTCTTGTTTGACAGATTTAAAAGGAGAAAAAAAATAACAATCTTGGTCTTCCAGAAGCTGTCTCAGTGCTCAGGAGGGAGATGGTGCCAGTGCCCCAGCAGGGCAGCAGCTCCATCGTGCTCAGCACTGTGCATGGTGTTCACACGGGCATTTCAAGAGGGAGCAGGGCAGTGTGCCCGGGCACAGAGCCCCCAGCTCAGGGGGTGCTCAGGAAGGTGTGCCCCCAACCGCCCCACACCCCAGCCAGGCTCCTCTGGCCCCAGGAACAGGGGCAGCTGTGGGAAGGGTAGGGGAAGCAGGGTCCTGCCTCTGCCTGGGCTCTGTCTTTCTGTGGTGGGTTGACCCTGTCCGGATGTCTGGTGTGCACCAAGCTGTTCTATCACTCCCCTTCTCAACTGGACAGGGAGGGGAAATACTATGAAAGGCTTGTGGGTCAAGATAAGGAGAGGGAGATCACTCACCAATTGCTGTCATGGGCAAAACACATTGACTTGGGGAAATTAATTTAATTTATTGCCAATCAAATCAGAGCAGGGTAATGAGAAATAAAACCAAATCTTAAACTGCCTTTCCCCAACCCCTGCCTTCTTCCTGGGCTTAACTTCACTCCTGATTTCTCTACCTCCTCCCCTTGATGAGGAATGGGAAATGGGGTTGTGGTCAGTTCATCACCCACTGTCTCTGCTGCTTCTTCCTCCTCAGGGGAGGACTCCTCACACTCTTCCCCTACTCCAGTGTGGGATCCCTCCCAAGGGAGACAGTCCTCCATGAACTGCTCCAACATGAGTCCTTCCCACAGGCTGCAGCTCTTCACAAACTGGTCCAGTGTGGGTCTTTCACATGTCCTTTCCATGGGGTGCAGCCCTTCAGGAACAGGCTGCTCCAGGGCAGGTCCCCTGGGGGGTCACAAGTCCTGCCAGCAAACCTGGTCCAGTGCGGGCTCCTCTCTCCACCCTTCCACAGGTCCTGCCAGGAGCCTGCTCCAGCGTGGACTTCCCACGGGGCCAGAGCCTCCTTCGGGCACCCGCCTGCTGCAGTGTGGGGTCCCCCACGGGCTGGTATCTGCTGCACCATGGACCTCCATGCCTCACCATGGGCTGCACCACGGGCTGCAGGGGAACCTCTGTTCCAGGGCCTGGAGCACCTTCTCCACCTCCTTCCTCACTGACCTTGGTGTCTGCAGAGTTGTTTCTCTCACATCTTCTCACTCCTTTCTCCTGGATGCTGTTGTGCAGCAGGGTTTTTTTCCCCTTCTTAAATATATTCTCACAGAGGCACTACCATTGTCGCTGATGGGCTTGGGTCTTGGCCAGCAGCGGGTCTGTCTTGGAGCTGGCTGGCCTTGGCTCCATTGGACACAGGGAAAGCTTCTGGCAGCTTCTCACAGAAGTCACCTTTGTAGCCCCCTCCACCCCTCACACCCCCCCCTATCAAAACCTTGCCAAAAGCAAGACCAGATATGCAGGGAAAGGTGATACCTTCCATTGGACCCACTGCTGCAGTAAAAGCTGATGGAGGAGTTTTGACACTGCTGGTGTCCCACAGGCCATTTTACAGCCACCCCTGCCCCACACTGCACAGCATCATGGAGAAGTCCTTGGCCCAAAGTCTGCCTGGTTTTTCCAACTTCATCCTTCATTCAGATCAGAAATATCACCTCTCCCTACAAACCTTTCATCACTTGA